AGTGCTTAGTAAGACATTCGAAGAACTTGGTCATGCTGTTGATGAATTAAAGGATCATGTTGAGAATTGGCACCTATTGTCTAGCAAAATTTACTTTGTAAGTCTCATAATGTCTTAATCTCGTAAGACATGCATGCTTATCTTAGTTGTTAATTTTATGTAGAAAGATCCGAGCTTCCATTATGTCGGGGTTACCCTTATTTATGACTATGTGCATAATAAATGTGATATTTTCTCAATCCAACCCCTTAAAACACGGGGTTTTCTGGAATTGTGCTTCCGGTAGTTTATTTTGATAGATTTGAGCATATAGGGGTGAATTGAGAAATTGCCATAAATTTTAGGATAAGTCTCTTCAGTATTTTGTTTTGTGGTTTGCGGGGAAATCATGCTGTATACTACAGTCATTTATAGCGGAAAACACTTATGATAACATTGATTTATTCTGTTACATTGTCTCCATGCTCTCACAACTCCCCTATCAGCAGTACTTCATAGCGTTTCACTTTCTGCTTGGTAAATGCTTTGGTTTTTGTTTTCTATGCCCCTGTATTGTAATTTCTTTTTTCAAGTTTATTTTTCTTCCTTAAAATTGAAGTTTTACTTTGAAGAATTATAGGCTCAACACCTTATTCCTAATGATTTAAAAGATGGGATGATGGTAATATTATTTAGTGGTAAAAATACTAATATGGACCATGTGTTATGGTGGTTATGACAATATGGTAGTTTGCTTGTTGCATTCAAACTGAAGTTTTTTAATAGTGATTTGTATTTTTTTTTCCGTCATCTTTCTTGAGTTTTGGTCTTGATATCGTTTCTAACATGTTTTGCTTGGAAAAGTAGATTGTAATTTTCTTCTCTTCGAAAATGTATATTTCCCTATCATGTATTTAGCATATGAAGAACACGACAATACACTGAAGAAGGAAGGAGAAGAAGGATTTTTCTTGATTTTTCTTTTTTCTTGTGAAAGCTGCGTGAATGAGAGAGAAGAGCCAACGAGAGAGAGGAAGATGCTTCAGAAGCAAATTAGGGCTAACATTAAAGGACTCAAAAATACCCTCAAAGCAGTTTAAATTTGAAGGGTAGTTTCGGTTTTTTGCGGGTTGAAGCTGAAAGTGGGTTAAACCCTCTTCGGGCCCAGAAGCCGCTCCCGCTCCCGCGACCCGCGAAACAGCAAATAGTGCTCGCGATGCCGAAGTGCTCTGCGATGGCTTTTCCAATGCCAGCCGGACTGCGCGTTGCGTCGACTCACGGGATAGCGCCACTATCGGCTGCTATCTATAACTCTGACAGACAGTTCCTATTATCTTGCTTAGTTTCTAGGTTCGACCTGTCAAATTTGTGTCAACTATGAACAATTGGAAGATTTCTAGTGTCATTGTTTTGATTACTATAGAATGTTTTTGTTTCTTCTCAATCCCTTTAATCTGTTTAAGAAAAATTGGTCAGGATGGTTGGATTCAGATTTGATTAATCAATGCGTGGAATTTATCATGTTGGTAGTGGGGTAATTATGAGAGTTAGTGATGTATGAAATTTTTAAAGGGATAATAAGTGCGAAATCATTGGTTTCTTGTTGTGTCCTATAGAAAATTTTACTGCCTAAATGTAGAGGTAAACCTAATAATATAGAAATAGTCAAGTTTTTGTGTATAAATACGTTGTTTATATAGCATAACCCTTTTTCACAGGATAATCAATTGCCATAAATAACTCCTTCCAAAATTGTTTTTGTTTTCCTTGTCTCCTCTCCACCATATCAAGACGTGAGAAGGTTCAAAATGAGGAACGTGCGAGTATCTTTGCTTGACTTGGTTTGCCATCTGGTGTAGAAGCAGAACATACTTATTTTTATTGTGCTTGTATCTTTTGGAGGTTCATAAATATTGAGTTGGTTTGCCATCTGGTGTAGAAGCAGAACATACTTATTTTTATTGTGCTTGTATCTTTTGGAGGTTCATATTGAGTTGGTTTGCCATCTGGTGTAGAAGCAGAACATACTTATTTTTATTGTGCTTGCATCTATTGGAGGATCATATTGTGATTCTTGCATTTTTTTGGTTATAAGCAAATGATGTAAGTAGTTATGTTATTTTTTCCTCCTTCAGCGGGGTTTGAACCCATGCTCTTTAACTCCTCAAACTCCTTTAGTCCTTAGCTCAAACTAGTTGAGCAACCCAACCCCCCAATTCTTGTATAGTAAGTGCATGCCAGTTTCTCACTACTTCCTCTTTTTTGTTGACTAGGTTATGCAAGTTGAACCCTTGATATCTAGGATTCGGACTTCAGGTCTCAAGGTCTTGCAGCAGCTGAGGGTTTCAAACGAATGTCATAATGATGAACTGAGTTCTGAACATTTGGAAGTAAAATATTCTATTAATCTAATTAAAAATTTAAGATTCCTGGTTCAATTGGATTTTTATATTCATTATTTGAAATAAACTAAGGATGTATTATATCAATTTAAAATTGCAGAACTGTGTTCAGAAACTTAAGCTTTTGGAACTTGAAGAAATCTCATCCGTCATTAAGGAAGCTATTACGGATCAACTGGATGGTGCTGGATCCAGTTCAGAGATCCTGGAAAAAATTGCTGATAGATTGAGCCTTAATTCTAACGAGGAGGTTTTGATTGAGGCTGTGGCCCTAGAAAAGTTAAAGGAGAATGCTGAGCAGACCGAAAAGACTGCTGAAGCCGAATACATTGATCAAATTATTGCTGTTGTAACGCGTATGCACGAGAGCCTTGTTATGCTTAAGCAAGCCCAGAGTTGCACTCCAGTTCCAGTACCTGCTGATTTTTGTTGTCCACTTTCTTTGGAGTTAATGACTGATCCGGTGATTGTGGCCTCAGGGCAAACCTACGAGCGAGCTTTTATCAAGAACTGGATTGATCTTGGTCTTACTGTTTGTCCAAAGACCCATCAGACTCTGGCTCACACCAACCTAATACCTAACTACACTGTAAAGGCACTAATTGCAAACTGGTGTGAATCAAACAACGTGAAGCTGGTTGACCCCACTAAATCCACAGTCTTAAATCAAGCATCTGTCCTTCATGGGTATATGGAGTCTGGTACAACCCGGGAATCTCCTATTTTCCCTCATCCCAGGAGCAATCTGCCATCCTCACCTGAGTCAGCTCGTTCTCGTTCTTTTAATTCACCAGGTAATAACATACCTTCTTCCGGTGGAATCCAGCGAGAGGGAACATCCCCTTTGCACCCTCGTTCAATATCAGAAGGTTCCTTAAGTGGCATAATTAACGGGCAATATATGGATGCTGCTAGAACATCACCCACAGGATTAGACGACAGGTCTGCTAGCTCAGATGAAAGCAGTATCGATTCAATTGGCCATCCATCAATATCACCATCTAGAAGGGATTCTTCCGGGGCCTTCAGCTCTGAACTATCTCAAAACCATGTTAGAGCTGTATCTGATTCGGGTGCATTTTCTGATGCAAATTTTCAAGAAACACAAGGTGATGACAGCAATGCTTCTCAGCTGTCAACAAGTCCAGGCTACAGTAGAGATACTTCTGGCGAGTTAAATCCTGGGTCAGATACTGCTGGTGCTGCTCCCATGCCTTCAATGCATAGAGAACCTGAATTCCCACCCCGACTTATGGATACCAGGTCTCGAAGCCAAGCTATATGGAGGAGGCCATCAGAAAGGCTTGTTCCTAGGATAATATCTTCTTCTGCTGTTGAATCAAGAGTCGATCTTTCTGGTATCGAGACACAGGTTCGGGGTTTAGTTGAGGGCTTGAGGAGCATTGATCTTGATGCTCAGAGAGAGGCAACTTCTGAAATCCGTCTGCTTGCTAAGCACAATATGGATAATCGAATTGCAATTGCAAACTGTGGAGCCATTAACATCTTAGTTGACTTACTTCAATCAACTGATACAAGGATCCAGGAAAATGCTGTTACAGCACTTCTCAACTTATCAATAAATGATAACAACAAAACTGCAATTGCAAATGCCGGAGCAATCGAACCTCTGATTCGTGTTCTTGAGAACGGGAGCCCAGAAGCCAAAGAGAATTCAGCTGCCACTCTTTTCAGCTTGTCAGTGATTGAGGAAAACAAGGTTAACATAGGGAGGTCTGGGGCAATTATACCACTTGTAGATTTATTAGGGAATGGAACTCCAAGGGGAAAAAAGGATGCTGCCACCGCGTTGTTTAATTTGTCAATATTCCACGAGAACAAGAATCGGATTGTGCAAGCTGGTGCTGTGAAGCACCTCGTGGAGTTGATGGACCCAGCGGCTGGAATGGTGGACAAGGCTGTGGCTGTCTTAGCAAATCTTGCCACAATTCCAGAAGGAAGAATTGCAATTGGTCAGGAAGGTGGGATTCCTGTTCTAGTTGAAGTTGTTGAGTTGGGTTCTGCTAGAGGAAAGGAGAATGCAGCAGCAGCTCTTCTACATCTTTGCTTACACAGTAATAGATTCTTAAGCATGGTGCTCCAACACGGAGCTGTGCCACCATTAGTAGCTTTATCGCAGTCAGGCACACCGAGGGCCAAAGAAAAGGTGTGGTTTTCTCTTTATAACTTCATATTTTAGTTGCCTTTGTTTTCATTCTTACAAAAAATGGTGATGTTTTTGTTCTATGTTTAGGCCCAAGCTCTCCTTAATCAATTTAGAAGTCAAAGACATGGAAATTCTGGGAGGGGCTGATCTTGAATTCCAGCCATCTGTGCTATCCAACGGTTTTGAATTAACACCTATAGAACGTCTCTAATTTATACATTACATAATGCAAATAATGTGTGTAAATGTCTTTCGTATTGTTTTTGCTCACTTGTAAAGTGGAAAAAAAATATTTATGGAGAGGATTGATTGTGTCCTCTCATGAAAAACCTTTCATTGTTGTAACAATTATACATGTAAGTCTATCATTTGTTGTAACAGATAGTCTCCAGTTTTTCTTGCTGTGCTAGGGCATGATGTTGACAGTGAATAAAATTATTTGGTTTATTTAGTTACATCCTAACTGTTCCTTTCAATTTCGGAGATGATTTAGAAGCGGGCAAGGCAGGCAACCCATCTTGAAGAAAGCATAGCATGAAAGGCTCAAATGTTGCTTGATAAAAATTGTAGATGATTTCTTGCTGTCCTATTTGATCAGAATGAAGTAGTCCCCTTTTGATAATGAGATTCTTGTAGTAATTATTGTCAAAATGAGTTGGAATTCTTGTCTCAAAAAAATTCTTTTTGAAGTATTTTTTTGACAAAAAATTCTTTTTTAAGTATTGCTTGTAATTTTTGTTCTCTTCATGGAACCTTCTTTAGTATATATGGAATATAAATGGTTGTTATTATTTGTTGGTTTGGTATATTTTTTCAAACATAAAAATGTTTATGCATGATAGACACATTTTCTCTATTTGTAATTAAACACAATTTTATTTTTTTTGTCGACAATAACACTATTTTCTTTTTCCTTCTTATTTGCATGACATAAAGCTTTTTATGGAATGACCTAACTTTATTAAGCTTATTGTTCTGGATTGAGGCAGCATTGTTCTGGATTGAGGCAGCATTTGGTCCTCTGTTGAGCAGGTCCAATTCAGCATCTTTGTTATGGTTTAATAGCGTACAACTCAAATTAATAATTGTTGGGAGTTTCCTCACGTGCCCACTAAGGGGACGTGGTCAACGGTTATCTGAAGCTTTCACCATCCTGTCCGTCGAGAATAATGGATCCATAACCTCCATATTATCTCGGAGCGGATGATCAGGGAGGAGACCACGTGTTGGACTCTACTACGAACGTAATTCTGGCAGTCTTCATTATTGGGTCTAACTATCTGGTCCAGTACGTAGATCTTGGTCCAGCATTGGAGCTATAAATATCCTCTCACACGAGAGGGTCAGATATTCACTAATTTATTTACTCTCTCATTACTTGCATTTACTCTCAGGCTTACTTTGACATTGGAGTGTCTCGCAGGTACCCCCCACTTCACTTTCAACCACCGTTCGACTCAAGTTTGTGGGCCATCGACGATTCCTTCTGATCAGGTACGATCAGTGGCACCGTCTGTGAGAATCACTGCTTCCCCGTCTTTTCCTAACCAAGACCAAAAGCAAACTCTTTTAACCTCACGATCATTATGGCTGCTCAAGCAAACAACGATGACCAGAACGCCCACTTCATCGACCTTGGGAACAACAACAACGTGGGCGTCCTCGAACACGACCTCATAGACAGAAGAACTGCTTCCTCTTCCATTCGTTCGCATCCTCTGGATAACCCTCACCAGCAGGTCGAGCAACCCGCGATGTACTAGGAAATTCTAGTGCTCGCTAATGTTGATCCCTCGATCCAGGCCCTGATTACGACGCTTAATCAGACCAACTACATGCTCTTCGTGCAGAGTGAACGCCTTACAATGCTAGAGAAGATCCGTCAGTCACGATCCCCCGGAAGGCACATAAGACACGACTCACGTAGCCCGACTCCGCAACAACGTGAAACCCGTTTGCGGTCTCCTTCGCGGAGACACCAACGGGAAGACTCTCGCAGCTTCTCTCCTCGTCATACCGGGCGAGACCCTCAACTGGAGAGGACCCAGCCCGAGAACGTCAAGAAGCACGACCGCACGCCTCCGCACAAAGAACGAAGATCCTTTGCTCATAAAAGAGCAAGGGCAAGGAAGATAAGAGAACCTGGGCAAAGATCTCTCTCTGTCGAAGAGATCATCGTTTTGACCATTCCTCGTCCCGTCGCCCGCGATCCACTTTCACAAGCTATTATGGAGGCCTCTATTTTCAAGGAGATGGAGAAACCTCCACATTTGAACACCTATGATGGCGTTAGAGACCCCAACGACCACCTCGACGTCTTCGAGGAAATGCTCCACTTCCACAACATCGGGAGTGCCATCAAGTGCATGCTATTTCCCATGACTCTGAGGAAAACTGCCATGGACTGATACAAAAGCCTCGACCCTGAATCTATCACCTCATGGAAGAGCATGAAGAGCCAATTATCCAGCAACTTCATAGCCTCTCGACGACACCTCAAGACTGAGGCGTTCCTCGAGGCCATCATCCAGGGGAGCGACGAATCTCTCCAGGCATACATCGAGCAGTTCAAGTGCAAGGCCATCTAAATCTCCACCACCGACGATATGAAGAGATACCTACTCGAAAGAGGGCTTTGCCCGAGCAACGACTTCAAGAAGACTGTCACCATCGAACCTCCCAGATCCTTGGACGATCTCCTCCATAAAGCCCGGGCCTATATCACGTACGAGGAGAAGGAGGCCGCCAACAACGCCCGCGATTCTAAGAACCACAGGACGCCCGGGGCCTCGAGGTGCAATGATTCAGGTCCTGCTCGACGAACCGTGGATAAAAGGGAAGAAGAAAGACCTCGTGATTCTCATAAGCACCGAGGTCCAGTTGGATTCTTCACCGAGTACACCCCACTGACTGCTCCCCACGAGAGAATCTTTGCAAAGTGCGCCAATGCCGAGTTCAAAGACGGGGGAGGGGGGGGGGGGAGGGGGGGGAGGGAGGGGGGGTGGGAGGGTTAGATGACCTAAACCTACACCTCGCAAGCCCGGGGTCGACAGGACCAAATACTGTCAGTACAACCGGAGTCACGACCATGTTACCGAGGATTGCGTCCACCTGAAGGATGCCATCAAGACCCTCATTAAGGCTGAAAGACTAGGGAAATATAAGAGAAATGACATCCCTCACCGTGATAATCGCGAGGTGAAAGAGATCGAGGAAGAAGCACAATCCTCCGGTGAAGCTGGCCCCCTCCAAGTCGCTTTGTGCGTCTCTCGACCCGAGGGTTTCTACATCCCCGACAACATCGAAGACGATGAGCCTTTTTTCACCCACAGCGGATGGAAAAAGTTCCCCTTCACCATGGTCATATCCGGCGGGGAATTCGAAATTCTTTCTGTAAACTAGATGAAAAGAAAGTTTGATGAGCTGATAGACGCGGCTCCGGTCCAGACCGTGACCCTGGACAGATTCCGAGGAAAATCAGAGCCCATCACCTTATACCTCGAGGAACTGCCAGGCAGAGCCCCCAACTCTCACATCCCTCTGCTAGTAAGGGAAAATATGGTCAACTTAGACGTGCATCGTATCCTAGTCGACGAGGGGAGTTCTATCGACGTCATGTACACTCAGCTGTTCCAGACCCTATAACTCGACAGGTCCCACTTGTCACCGTATGTGTGGTCCGACCTGCAAGGCTTTAATTGTTCAACCTATAAGCCATGGGGTTATGTCGAGCCGCTCATCACATTTGGAATAGAAACAGTCGCAAGGCAGGTGAAAGTCTGCTTCTTAGTGGTCGACTGCCTATCTCTTTACAACTGCATTCTGGGGAGACCAACATTGTCTGAGTTGACCTCCGTGCCCTCCACGATGCATCTAAAAATGAAGTTCTACACCAAGAGGGGTTGGATTGCCACTATTCACGGGTACATTCAAGCCGCGAGAAGGTGTTTTAATGCGGCCTCAAAGGGGAAGAACATGGTCGACATAAAGTCGAAGACCGTCAGCGGAACAACTTCCTCTACAACCAAGCCTACTCAAACTGGATAACGGGAGGCTCCACCCCATATCGAATTCATTAATCTCGACACCCGCTTTGACAAAGATGAAGTCGAAGTCCCCAACGGCGAACAAGATCCCCTTCGTCCCATCCCCGGCGAAGACTTTGAAATCCTCCTCCTCGGCAAGGACCCAAACAAAGGCATGAAGATTGGAGCTGGACTCCCGATCTTGCGAGGAAGAAGCTCAAAGCCTGTCTAAGGGAGAACACTGATTTGTTCGCATGGAGCTGCGGAGATGCCCGTACTCGACCCTAAGGCCGCCTGTCACCAGCTCGTCGTAGATCCTGCCGCTAGGGAAATAGTTCAACATAGGCATATGCAGTCTCCCGAAAAGGTGGAGGCTGCTGAAAAAGTTGTAAAAGACCTCCTAGAGCCAAATTTTATTTTTCAGGTCCGATACTCAACCTGGTTCTCCAACATTGTACTCGTTAAGAAAAATAATGGAAAATGGCATATGTGTATTGATTATATTGATCTCAACCGGGCATGTCCCAAAAATGTATATCCTTTACCTAATATTGACAGGCTGGTCGACAACTCAGCCGACTATAAACTCTTATCATTCATGGATGTATATTTAAGATATAATCAAATTCCCATGGAAATGAGCGACAAAAAATGCACGACCTTCATGACCGAGTCAGATAATTAGTACTACAACGTAATGCCCTTCGGCCTGAAAAATGCAGGTGCAACATACCAACGGATGATGAACAAGGTTTTTTGTAGCGAGATCGGGGACATGCTCGAGGTATACATGGACGAAATGATCATCAAGTCTTGAGTGTAAACCAACCACACGTCCCACCTAAAAAGAGTCTTCGACCAGACAAGAAGATGCAAGATGAGATTCAACTCGGAAAAATGCACCTTCAGGGTTAAGGCGGGTAAGTTTCTCGGTTTCTATTTGAAGGAATGAGGGATTGAATCCAAACCTGACAAATGTATCGCCTTCTTCGAACTCCCTATGCCAAACTCTAATAAATCCATACAAATCTTGAACGGTATGCTCACCTCGCTCTCTCGCTTCGTGGAAAAATTTGTGCAACATGCACTCCCATTTTTCAAACTCTTACGCAAGGAAGAAACTTTCGAATGGATGGAGGAGTGCGAGAAAGATCTCCTCCACCTCAAATAAGCTCTCTCAAAACCTCTTGTGCTTTCACGATTTGAGAACAGGGAGATCCTGTTCCTCTACATGGTCGTCTCAAATGAGGCCATTAGCGCGACCCTCATTCTCCGAACACGCAGAAGTCTGTATACTTCACCAGTAAAGCGCTACAAGGCCCAAAGATAAGATATCAACAAATCAAAAAAGTATCCTTGGCCCTCATTAATGCCGCAAGGATACTCAGACATTACTTTTTGGCCCACATGATCACCGTACAAATTGACCAACCTATAAGGAAACTATTAGGACGACCAGACACGGCCGACAAAATGCTAAAATGGTCACTAGAGCTATTGGAATTCGACATCCAATATGAGTTCAAGAAAGCCTTCAAAGCCCAAGCACTGACCGACTTCATCGTAAAAATGACCACTGCTGAACACCCTACAAACGAAGCCCAGAAGAGGACCATCTTCGTAGATGGATCCTCCAGCTCGACGAGAAGCGGGGAAGGCATCCTTCTCGAGAACAATGATGGCATCATAGTCGAGTATTCGATTGCCTTATCATTCCTAATGTCGAACAACTA